CAAAAATTGTGAAGTTTCTCTGGTCGTACAGTCACCAGGATCTAAATTGACATTGATTTAGCTCTGATACCAATTGTTACGTCCCGAATTCTAAGATCCAAATCAGTGATCAAATGATATTGCAATCAATCAGGGTGTAGAAGGAGTAGAAGAAGAATTAAGCCAAGCATGCACATATTTATATCACATAAACATCAAATACACCTTGGAAAACACACACTTGCATCACCCTAAGACTGAACCAGACACGTGCTATTTATAGCACTCCCAGCCAGGGCCGGTCCAAACGTATATGGGGCCCGGGGCTGAAAGAAAAAAATGGGGCCCTAAAAGACAAATATAATACAAATTAAAAAAAATAGTATTTATTCTTCAGTATAGACGTGTTCAATTAGCAATAATAAACAAGCCAAATTATTTATCTTTTGAGCTAATTTGAGTTTTAACCAACTTTAGGCCGAAAAAATATTTTAGGTAATAATTTTTTTATATATATACACTACATAGCCCATAAATTTTGGGCCCCGTGGAGACGTAGGCCCTGGACGGTCACCCGGGTTGCCCACCGTCTGAACCGGCCCTGCTCCCAGCAGTACACGAGTGTATAGCCGCACACGCGTGTACGGCCGTACACACATGTCCGGCCGTACACAGTCACACAAAGGTTACAGCCACCATAACAAACCCCAAGACCCTACCAAGACCTATACAAGATGGATGACTAGCCCAAACCACTATATTATGACCTATCAATTAGTGTTAAAAAAATAACTTGTTGTATTAATAATAATTGGTATTAAAAAAAATAGGTGTTAAATAAAATTAATTGGTTTAAAAATAAAATGAAGGAATAAATTGGTTATAATAAAAAACTTGAAAATAAATGGGTTAAGTTAAAATAGGTTAGGAGTGGAGTATGGGTTAACAAGTGGGAAAGGTTAGGAGTAGAATGATCGGTTATGGTCCGAAATTTTTTTTTTTATTCTGGAAATTTTTTGAGTCCAGAAATGGAAGGGTGAATCCGGAATTGATTTTAAAACAAAAGGTCCGAAATGAAAAACAAAAAAGGTTCAAAATGGATAAGAAAATAAAATGTCCGGAATGGGTGTCGGGTAAAATGGGTCTGGAATAAATTAGACTTCCGAAGTAGGAGTTGAGTCCGGAATTTCTTTTGAGTCCGGAATGGCTTTTTGGTTTCGGAAGAGTGATACCCGACAAAAGCTGATGCATGGCAGAAAGCATGCGTGTGGTGGCAGCAAAACTCAAACCAAGACAACTTGAGAGGTTGCATGCGCTTGTTGAAAAATAGAGTGAGTCCTTGCATTGTTTGACTTTCAATAGGACTGCAATTTTAATGCAAGTGGGACCCGACAGGCTGGCGTGTCAAGTGATGAATAGTGCATGAATTTCACTCGTTGGGTGAAAGAGTGGTATACTCGGTTGCATTACTGTTTCAAAAAGCAAAGAACATTTAATACCTCTTCTTTGAGGGGTTGGCTAAAAAATAGTTATGTTGATTTTTGATAAAGATGTGTATAGGGTATCTAAGGGTGTCTACTGAGACCTGCCCACCATTTTCCCACGTCCAGACAAGCATGAATTGAACCTACACTCAAACATTAAATGCAGGTGGAACCCGTCTGCTGAGATGGCGTATGCAGAGAGGTCAGCGATGATGTGTCAATGAATGATTGGTGAACAGAAAATGTAGGACCCAAGGAAAGAGCATCTCTGCATGCTTTTATTACAAAAGAGATATAGGAGATATTCATTTGGCTTTCTTGTTATAGAAAATTAATTCCACACATCAATTTCCTTTTCAGCGCAAAAACAACGCGCATCAAACAATATGCTTTTCACATATACGGTATAATAAGCTTGTACATTACCGGCCAAAATTTATAATCTCCGAAATTGATTGCCAAGTCATTCTAAAAATCATATCATCTTGGAAAATCTTATCCACACACCAACAATCAATTTCATTTCGTAAATAGCATGCATTTAGCACTTGTATCACCCGTTCAATCACCTTGCACATTCCAAAATAAATACCCCAACAGTCTAAAAATCACATACTCCGAACTTATGACCATTTGTTCAATCTCTTACCCCAACATCATATTTTTGTCCTTTTCTAAACATCTTTTTGCATGGGATAATAAGCTCAAAGACCACCTTTTTAACAGAAACTTCATCTTCTTTAGCACATAATATATTTTCTCCATAAACTCAACTTCAACAGAAGCAAAAATGTATTGAACAGTAGCAGTAAAATTTTTATTTTTCTAGCAACATCACCAACAAAACAGTAAATAACTCACAAAAGATTTTTCAGTTGCTAAGACTGAGACAATCTTCATAAATGACGAAAATCTTCAAGATAATAAACCAATCGGGATTGTTCCCTTGAAATAATTGTGAGATCTTCAAGGTCTCGCTCTGATACCACTTGTAGGTTCCCATTTTATCGACTGGATCGGTGCAGAAGATATTACCAAGAAGATAATCGTTTATGAACAAGATATGTGAGTAAAAACTGTAGTAGATAGATTGAGAGAAACAAATATTACAATAACACTCATGGGTTGGGAGATATAACTCTCCCTTGGTGGGAAAGATCCCACCACACTCTCTCTAATCTACAAAGTCTACATAGTAAACACTAATACAATAAAATGACCATCACCTCCACTTTATATACTAGTGGAGGGAATATGCTTTTCATACAAGGGAATATTCTACCCTTATAAACACTCAACATTGTAGAGCATTTTCATGCTCTAACATTATCTTTAGACCTAATGAGAGAGGGATTGGTCCTAGATCATAATTGAGTTAATTATGGGTTTGGGCTCAGTGTAGAGGCCGGTGTGCAGCCGCAACATTTGTAGGAGTCGTTCATCATCCGAGGTGAGTCTTCTCACTATACTTACCTGAGTGGTAATTTCTGTGCGATCGGAGGATCTTTACTGAGATACAGGACCAGTGGGTCCAACCCGAGCTGTGAGACTGGAGGGTCCTCAATATTGACCAGAGGGTCTTATTACATTATTGACCAGAGGGTCTTGTTTGTTTATACTGTGATATGTGCTACCATGTATACTGTCTTTGTGACTTATGTTGCTGTATTATCATGTGTACGTGTATTCTTATGAGCTTATACTAAGATATGTGTTATTATGCATTTTGTCTTGTGCTGTCATCTTATTATGTGTATTTACTAGTTATGAACAGAGAGTCTTAGGTGTTTATATTGAGTATTAAGATATCCTGCTTTATGTCTATCATTATGTGGTGTATTATTCTGAGCTTATTGAGTTAGGATAAGAGGGTCCACCCGAATTGTGGGGCCGAAGGGTCCCATTGAGACACATTGACCGAAGGGTCTTATTTTGAGTATAGCTATGAGTTGCTTATGAGATATGTGCGGTATTTTGGGGAACTCACTAAGTTTCGTGTTTACCATGTTATGTGATATGTGTTTCAGGTACTTCTCCGAATCGCGGGAAGGCGCCGGCTTGATTGTACACACGAGATGGAGTTACGTTTTGAGGATCCTGGATTTTATTTAAACAATTGTGGATATGCATTTTGATAATTTGACACTTTGGGATTTTTTGTAATGTGTTAAAAAAAATGAGAATTATGTGATTTTTAAAATGAAAATTTTGTTTGAAAATTTACGATGTTACATTTCTAAGATTTGGCATAGCAGTATGCAACTCGTAATTCGAATTTTAGATCGATCAATTTTTAGCCGAGACAATCTAAATGGGTATCGAATATCTCGTTAATAAGAGTTCAACAATATAAAGACAAACGAAAACGGACGTCGGATGACGAAGTAATGAATTTTTAACGGTCTTTATCTGTCTAAGGCTGTTAAAATATAACTTTAAAAATAAATCAAACTTAGCCGACAGGGTGTACACGAAAGTTGTAGATTCCATCGATACCTACGCGTGGATATAAAGAATGTCGAAAACGGAGCTTGTATGCAAAAGTTACGGAAGTTAGAAGTTAATGGGATTAGGATGCGAGGGGACACGTGGCCGAATCCTGACCTTCGCTTTCTTTCCACGGCTTCGCATAGGATTTCGACACCTGGCATGGGTAAATAATGTATAACTAATATAAGGGGGGTTTCATACAAGATTTTGGTTTCTTTTTTAGTCAATGAGTTGTATAACATCAAAAAATCGACAAATCAAAATCAAACCATTTAAGTATTAATAAATCAAAATCAATTTGGTATGAACCACATTGAATTCTTATTTAAAAATAACTATGAGAATGAAAAACATAATTTACATAATCAAGAACTCTTATTTTAAAATAAGGGAAAATGTCATAAAAACCCTTAGCCATGCAAGTTTTTGTCGATTTTACCCAAAGTCTTATTTTAGATCTATAAATGCCTCAAATTTGTAACTTTTTTTCAATGTTATCCTTAGGGATGAGCAAAAGGACCGAACCGGCCGAAACCGGACCCGACCCGGGAACCGGCTTCGGCAAAAATCAAGAACCGAACCGGCCCGGCGGTTCTACAAGTTCCCGGTTCTTGTCGTGTCTTCAAATATTGAAACCGGTCCATGAAAAATAGCATCATACGGTTCCGGTTTTTGCCGGTTCTACCGGTTTTTCCCTGTTCTACCGGTTCCGGTTATATCGGTTCCGGTACTACCGGTTCCCGGTTCCAAAAATCCACAAAAATAACGTCCCGGTCCCGGCCCGACCGGTTCCATCGGGTTCCGGTTCCGGTTCTGGCCGGTTCCCCGGCCCATATGCTCATCCCTAGTTATCATTTTTGCGAATTTATCTGGTAAAACTGAAAATTTCTATCAAATTTAAAGCTTTTAATGAACGAGAAAACCAAACTTGAGGGCTTTTATGAACCAAAAAAAAAAACCAAACATTTGTGCCAAACGTAAGGGCTTTAATAAGCCAGAGGGTAAATTTAAAAATATATATATAAAAATATAAAAATTACAAACATCCGGTTTTAATGAATTTAAAATCTGCAAAAGGGTAAAACCGACAAAAATTTGAAAACTTAAGGTTTTTATGTCATTACCCCTAAAAATAACAAGATAAGTAGGTAATCTCCCAGCATTTCTGAATTCAACTTTTGCCTCCTTAATCCTTAACCCTTATGACCAATTTATTCTCAAGATTTCCTAAACTAACCCTGGTCCTTAATCTTTATCCATGTATTTGCCATGTAAGACTTCCAAAATCTCATCCTTCCGGTATAAAATATTTACAGCACTTTTGGGTTATGAAATCAATACTAGATGCCATAACTTCTTGGTATAACTAGTGGCATACTAGAAAAATTGTTCGGAAAAAGATGTTTGACTAACGAGCCAAATATTTATAATACTACTACATCTAAAACCCTGTAATCTAGCACAAGAATTCACATAACCATGAATAACACATCTGAAATACATAAACTGAAGGCCCTGATGCATAACAAGAGAAAAAGGTTGCAGACAATAATGACACAATTACAACATGAAAATATATTATTAGTATTGAATACCTGCATAAGATATAAAATATTCAGTTAAAAATATAAAGAATGTCTGGCTTTTGTCCATAAGAAAAAATATACATGACAGATTTTTTTAATGTATTTTAAGAGTTATTATAGCAGAAAACGTCTACTTACCTCTTATTTGATCTTTATAATGGAGTTGATATCTTCCCCTTTTCTATTTCTTTTAGCTTCCGAGTAGCGGAATTGCCCTTGGTGAAAGTCAATATTGTTGGGCATTCCTCAATACTTAAAGTATCCAATAATGGGAATGAAAAATCCTCCTTCCCTAACCAAAACCCCTTAAGACGAGGAAGGCTAGCAAGTGTTACAGTTTTTAGAAAAGGTAATGTGATGTCTTTCCTTTTGTCATCATCATCATCTTCTTCTTCTTCTTCTACAACATCTGCATCCCTGGCGATTACCTCCTCCATATATTTGCAGTTATATATATGTAGCTCTTGGAGTTGCAATAGACTACCAACCATGGAACTAGTAAATACATGTTCTAACCCATGACATTCTCTGATAGTGACTGTTGTTAGGTTTGGGAACTCAAATGTTGTCCACTGATTGGTCTTCCATATATACCTCAGACAATCTAGATACTCTAACTCCACTTGTGTTAGGTTTGGAAGTTTGACAAGAGTAGTAGTTTGTAAGGATTCATCAAAACCATTACTACTATTTGCCCCTGCTTCCAATGCTTCAAATACCTCCTCTACCCCATTACAATGCCTTACATGAACCTTTTCCAGCTTTTGCAGATGTAACAACTCATTGGATGGAATAATCTTCTCAACATCATTAAACATCAAAGATATTTCGATCAAATTATGAAAGGACCAAGGCATCCCTTCTGAAGTAGCAGGGCACGAACTCAGGAATGGGGTCTGCAAGTCCAATAAAGAAAAAGCAAGGGGATTATGTTAAACAAAAACATTTGAAATGTAATATGTTGTAATTTCAACGAAATTGAAGACATTTCATTCATAAATGATGATGATATTTGACTCCAATTAAAAGTTGTCCAATGGGTAACTATTTTTTTATCTCATAAGGTAAGTTGGATTAAGGTTTATTTTGAAAAATGGAAAATTTTGATTCAAGTGACAACATAAACTGATACTGAAACTAGTATTAATGTGTTTAATACTTGTAATTAGCGTCATGATTCCATAATTAGATGGTGTGAAAGAATAATAATTATACCTGATGATATGCAGTAGTTGTGACTTGAAAATTAAGGCCACATTCAAGAGTATGTTTGCCTAAGCTTGAGTGTATGTACTTGAGGTGGGGAGTTGTTGACTCACCAGGTGTGAACACCATCATTTGTGGGCAATCAATGATGGTAACCTTATCCAATGAAGGCCACCAGAACTCATTCTTCCCCAAGAAGAAACCCACCAACTCTGGTAGATGGCATAGTGTAATGGACTTTAGACAAGAAAATACCACAGCCTTCAATACCCTTGTTTGCTCTACATCATATTCCTCCTTCACAATCACTTTCATTGCCTTGCAATCCGCTATTGTTAACTCTTTGAGCTGCATCAGGCTTTCAAGTGCAGAGAATGTGAATATATGTTCCAAACTGCCACAATTGCTGATTTGCAATATCTTTATATTTGGAAACATAATAACGTTATTTAGTCTTGGAATTCCACCATTTCCATCATCACAACAATTGTCATCATTATTGTTGTTCATCCCTTGAGTTTCAAGTACCTCCTCCATCCCATATATGCCAAAGCTTGTATTTATATACTTGCGCTTGGGAACTGTGGACTCACCAGGTGCAAACACCATCATTTCTGGGCAATTCTTGATCATAACCTTATCCAATGAAGGCCACTGAATCTCATTCTTCCCTAAGTAGAAACCCATGAGCTCTTGTAGATTTTCCAGTTCAATGGACTTGAGACGAGGAAAGACCACAACCTCCTTCGAAGATGTCTTTGTTGTTTGCTCTCCATATTCATCTTCTTCCTTCACTATCACTTTCATTGCCTTGCATTTCTCTATCGTTAACTCTTCGAGCTGTCTCAGGCTTCCAAGTGCAGAGAATGTGAATACATGTTCCAGATGACCACAATCTTCAATCTTCAATATCTTTAGATTGGGTAGCATAATAATGTTATTTAGTCTTGGAATTGCTGGTATACAACCATTTCCTTCATCACAACCACTGTCACCATTGTTGTTGTTCATCCCTTGAGTTTCAAATAACTCCTTCATTGAGTTGCACCTGTATATATTCAGCACTTGAACATTTTGCATCTGTCCTGCTGCATAACATGGAATTACACTTGACAATGCATAACACTCCCTTATATTTATCTCTCTGGAGTATTGGCATAACGTCCAAAAAACGCCACCTGCCTGATAAAACTGCAACACATGAAAAATTAGTCTAAAAATTAAACTCCATATACTTAACAGAGACTAATTGTCTATTACCTACATAAACATGTATACATAGACACAACTTTTGTATAAGAAATTCAATTCAAAATTTAGTTTTTATATACTAAATAACACAATTGTTATGATATCTACATCAATTATGTAGTTTTGGTTTTTGTACAATTAATGTTGAAAAGACAACAAATGACATACCACTTTACAACCTAAAATTTTGGAATGCAAAATCAATTAAGTTTAGAAAGCATATGTTTAAATACAACAAGCTTAGAAAAATCTATGTTTTGTACCTAAAATGACGAACCCAATGGTTTTATATTAGTTGGTTGATGATGATATTAGTTTTAGGGAATATTATTACAGATTGTTAAATTCTAGCCTAAAAATATGCCTTTCATTGATACTATGTGTTGTAACACACATCTACAATGCATGGATTTTTGGGTTAGCCAACCAGCCACTCATGCTGATATCAGAAGGAAATATGTGTATTTTCAGTTTTATGTTGCAAATAATGATAGTCCAACATTGTAATGGTAAATTTTTGTTGTTTGTAATGGTTTAAGTCATTTACTTTATAATGAAATTTTCTTTTAAAATTAAAACCGGGTTCACAGTATGAGAAGCGGATCTGTGATTTAAAGAACCGGTGTGTAGACGTTTTAACGACCTGGCCCAACATTCCACGAACCACCAGACTGGTTTTGGGCAATTTAGTCGGGTACCTGCCTTTGCTCACACTTAGTTATTTGTTTAATAAATTTGATTGTTTAAAGATTATAAATATAACGTATTATATGAGGCATAGCATTTATCCTTTACGTGTCTAATATGTTAGTATATTATTAGGGAGGAGGGAGTCATTCCCTCCCAACCTACTGAACCCACTGCCACATCAGCTTTTCTCTTTCATTTTTCTTCATCTTTTTCAACTCATAATACACGGAAACCCTATTTTTTCAACACACTCAACTCACTCAATTAAAAAAAAAATACAAAACAATCAAGGTAAAATCTTAATTAGCAATAGAGTTACCGCCGGTACCACTCCCTCTTCAGCAGGTTGTTTAACTGGTTTCACTAACCCACTTCATCCTCTCTCTTTTCTTTCTCTCTCTCATTTTCTCTTGTACCATGTGTTTTAAGATTTGTACCTTAGTTGTTTAGTATTTTTTTTCTAATTGAGTGGGTTGAGTGTGTTGAGAAAGATAGGATTTTCGTGTGTTGTGGGTTAGGAAAGATGAAGAAAAATAAAAGAGAAAGTTGATGTGACAGTGGGTTCAGTGGGTTGGGAGGGAATGACTCCCTCCTCCCTTATGTAGATTAGAACTTAAATACAAATTCCATTGGAATTGCAGCTATAAAAGAAAAATCTGTCCAAAGTAAACACAAATTGCAAATGAAAAAAATATTTAAGGTGCTTGGTTACAAAAACAACAAAGGGTTCACATAGAATAGCAAACCTAAGTTGGTTAGACATGTGAGCATTATCTAATTAAGTAGAAAAAGAAAGAAAATCGTATCAGTTATCGATATGAATTATGATAACTAACAAATATATTGTAATACTTGTTCAAACCAATGGAACTTTTTATGCCTCATGATAATCCCATTCATGAGTTTGCAGAGTAGGTAATGGGTGAACAATAGAAGTGTAAATCTCTTGTATGTGATTCTGTGATCTTTATATAATATTGAAAAGAAGAAATGGATCTTAAAAATAAAATTAATAAGTTGTCAAATAGGTAAACAAAAAAAAAACATACCTTAGATTGATCAACAAAAGAAGTAGTAGTAGTGGAATTATCAAGAGATATTTCATTGTTCCCACTGTTGGCAGAACCACCACCACCAATACACTTGAGATTTGGAAGTTGATAAAGAGCGAGAGATTCAAGACGAGGGAACAAATTAGTGCTTTTTTCAGAAGATGTAGATGTAAATGTAGTCTTTTCCTCATCTTCATCATCTCTGTTCGAAACAACTTCTTCAATACCATGACACTCTCTTACCTCGACCTTCTTTAGGTTGGAAAGAAGTTTTGCCATGAGAGTTGAAAACAAGTACTTAATGCTTTGGCAATATTGAACATGTATGGTTGTGAGATTACAGAATGGGGATTCTGACTGTTGTTTTTGAAGAATGAAGAATTTATTCCAGTTGCACTTCCATACATGACTCATGCTGTCCATAAAACTTATATCCAATAACTCAAGGTTGGGAAGTAGTGGTTGTTGATTATGGTGAATTGTTATCAATTCTCTACTTGTTGGACTCTCTATCTCAAACACCACCTCCACTCCTTCATACTTTTCCAAAGCAAGTTTACGGAGGTTTTGGAAAGAGTGTGTGAGAGTGAATGGGATTGCAATATCAATCTGCGCACATATATCCCAACAAAAAATGTAATTAGTAACTGATATATAATTCCACATCCATACACGGTTATATCATACGATTTTCATTTTTCAACTTGAAAAAGATTAATTATTTTGATTTTAGGTGGATTTTTAAGGAATATTTGCAAACAAGGAAAAAATCATAGTACAACATTTATAAATGTTAATAAATACAACAAATTTCAGTTTGTAAATTTCAAACTACTAACAAAATGTTTTAAGTTTAATTTAATATTTTATTCATTTGTAAACATTTTTCGAAAATGATTTCATTGCTCCTATTAAATGATGATTTCATTGCCCGAGTCGTCCTAAATTGAGTATACTTCATACATATAAATTTTGTATACTTATCAGTTAACTAATTTCACTATTAATTAATGTCGTGCAGCTATATTTTCCTATAAATATATGCCACCATCATATTTATATAAAAAAGTCATATTACTGACCATTTCGTATTTCTCATGAGGTGCACATGACCATTTCACAAATTCACATTTTCACAAGTCATAGATGCGAAATGGTGAAAGGTGATTTCCGCAGGTGAAAACTACCATTTTGCAGGTGCCAACTACAAACTGGCTTGAACTTTTTTTTAATTAATGGAAATTTCCCAGGTGCCAAAAAAAAATCGCAAATCTATTGATAATTTCGTAGATGGGACCTGCAAAAGAAACTATTGGCTATGTTTGGAAAAGCTCTATATTTTGCTTAAATCTTCCAAATTCTTATGAGGATTAGCCAATCTTGTCTTTTTTCTATAAAAATAATAATGAGTGATATCTTAACTAAAACTAGTTAATAAAAAATTAGTTACGATCTATAACTGACATTGGCTATTTAAACATCTTTAAGCTTATTGTTATAAAATGATATATAATAAAGAAAATCATTTATTGTAGACATTTTAATAAATAAAAAAGGTTGGTTTACATTTATCAATGACCAGTTTTTAATTATATTATGCATTTATTGCAACATTAGTTCAAAAAATGGTGTAGCTAAATGGTTGATAACTTTCCAGGTGGCATTCCCGAATTTAGTCATTCATCCACTTTTTATTCAAAAAGCAGGAGCTTAATCCTTCATTAAGTAAGCAAGTGAAATTGAAAGCCATACCTGCTCTTGCTCTTGGCTACTCTCTACCAATTCATTCTCTCTCCTCTTTTCTCCACAATCTTGTATCCGAATCTCCATAAGTGCCCCCATATCAAAATTGGTGCTGGTAGGTGTGAATACATTTCTAAACCTCTTGCATTTGTTAATGATAATGCTTTCAACACCTTGAAAGCCACTGATGAGGAGACTAGAGTTATCCGCACCTTTTATCCTCCACACCTCACTTAGCTTCCCTAAGTTCTGCAATTGGATGATTCTCAAGCTGCTATTGTTGATGCCTTCTCCAATTTGACCAATAGAATCCAACTCAATGTTGAATAACACTTCAATGGAACCACAAAATATCACCTGAAGCTCTTCAAGGTGATGTATCAATGGCATAGGATTGCACGGGAATAGATTCACAAGATTATCACAACTGCTTACTTTAATCACTCTCAACGTAGAAACATCAACTTCCTGACTCATCCCTAATTCACAAGGCCATATCTCTTTCAAATCCTTCATATAACTAATATCAAGTTTCTCCAAATTAGGGATTACAACCTGCGAAATAATCACCCATTAATAACCCCATCCAAACAAAAATAAATTATACAATATATTTTGAAACGGTTAATTGAAAAGATTGTATTGTATTAACATAAAACACATTTACCTCTTTATTCAACAAACTAGATGATTCAACATCTTTTTCAGGATATATGCTTGTGAAACCTGGAATGCCATTAAGTTTCAACTCTGTGAGTTGTGGTAGATTAATTATGTGCACATTACCACACAAACCCAACAGATTTGGTAGCCCACACAATGATAAAAACTTCAGCTTTGGGAATGTAATTGTCACTTCTCCTCTACCCTCTGTATGTATGAGTTCTTCCATATTATCGCATTCGTAAACTTGAAGATGCTCAAGCTTTGACAAAGTGTTTGCAACATCAAGTGTGAAAAGGTATCTCAACTCTACACACTCAGAAATGATAAGGACTCTTAAATTGTCGAAGGAAGAGGATTTAGGAAGATGTGCCGACTTTACCTCAACATCTTCAAGATCATTCATATCTCCTACACTTAAATAAAGGACATCTGTTTTCTCAAACAACTCATTAAGTCTGGATTCAAGAACTTCAGTTCTGTTGGTGACCAACCGCAACGTGTTTTCAAAAGAGTGAAAGATCTTACCGAAATCTCCCTTAAAATAACATCCCACTGAGATCTTGAATCGTTCAAGATTCTCAAATGACATATTCTTTGGTTGAGCATTGTTTTTGAAGAACTCAAATTCTAATGCAGAAAGGGTTTTTGAACGCTCTGCCATTTCATTGCAGTTTTCATCAGTGAAGCTAATGGCCTTTTGATATCGACCACCAACTCTCATATAAAGCTCTTCAAGTTTGACCAATTTCTTTAGGACACCATTATCTATACGAAGACCATCACACTCTGTCAAATCTAGTACCCTTAGCTCCTTCAAATTTCCGATTGTGGAAGGTAACCACTCAATGCCAGAATTAGCAAAGCTGAGCACTTCCAGATTCAACAGATTTCCAATAGAAGAGCAATCAAACATCAATGAGCATTGATGAAGATGAAGCACACGAAGGTTGGTGGAGCATTGAGGTGATGTTGGAAGCAAGGGATAGTTCATGTGATCATACGATATAACCTGAAGCTTCTTCATTTCTCCATAAAAGTCTTGAGGAAACTTCAAAGACTTATCTCCATGCATAAGTTTCAAAATCAAGAGATTTGGAAACTTTACGACTCTAGGAAAATCGGACATGCCCTTGCATATTAATGAAATTCTTTTGCAAGATGAGGCACTCATATCATTTTCAGGCCACCCTAACATACCACCATTACCATGATTGACAATCAACGAATGCTCGAATCTATTAAACGTATCCAAAACAAAAGCACGAACCAAATCATGCATCTTGATGCAGTGAACATCATCACTTTCAATCAATAAATTTGAATCCTTGAGCAGCTCGATGTAGGCATTCAACCTGTGTCTTGCTTCTCCTATAGTATACACTCCATTAAATACTCTCAAGCCCCATCCATACCTCACCAATTCCTCAGTAGGAATATCAAAGTCTTCAGGAAACAATCCACAAAGCAAAAAAATGGATTGAGCTTCTTCGTTTTGGAGATTGTCGTAGCTCATTTGAAAAACAACATGTGCAATTGTCTCAATGTCATGATGCTCTATACGAGAAAGTGCATCCTTCCATACATCCTTGTTTCTACTTTTAAGAGTATTGGCTATGGTTTTGATGGCAATGGGTAGACCACCACACTTTCTTACAATAGCTTTTCCAATCTTATCAAGGTGGGGATCAGAAACTTTTACAAATTGATAAAACAAACTTTGTGCTTCTTCTTCTGTTAAGAATTTCACGTCGAAAATCAAATTAGCTTCAACTCCCATTTTTGCACAAACATCTTTGTTTTCCGAGGTCAACAAGACCTTGAAATCGACACCTTGATTCGGAAAAGGACTTAAACCAATATCTTCCATATCAACAGATTGCCATACATCATCCAGTATTATGAGGAACCTATTCTTACCTCCATCTGATTTCGCCTGAAACCCTTCATGAAGTTTATCGGCTCTTTCTGATTCATTGCTTTCTATTAGCTTCATATCCAGGTAATCTGCTACAGCATCCTGGATGGAAATGAGATCCATATTTTCCTTTATAACCACCAAAACAATATAATGAAACGTCCTCTTTTCTTTAATAATCTTTTTCAGCCTCTTCATCATCGTGGTCTTCCCCACTCCACCCATCCCACATAAGGCTACCATGTGGGATGTGTGGTTGGATCCAAGTGCTTCAAGTGCTTTCCTAAAAGTGTGTTCTCTTGACTCGAAGTCATTGTAATCACTTGATGGTGTAGAGGTGGATGCCTTTGTGGAACCATTTCTCCCTAAAGGAACTGAATCATCAGTCCATTCTATCCGAGAGAGTTGTTTCATGGCATGATCGATCTCCTGAGTTATCTCCAAGGCTTTCACTGCGAGCATGTACCTATTACATAGATTGAACCAATTGCAATTATCGTTAAGAACACATTCCACTTTTCTGTTGATTGTTTGAACATCTTCCAACCAACGGTTGACATGGTTTGGAGCCTCAAAACATTTTTCTACGTTTTGATTCTTCCGCTCTTCAACAATGTCTTTTGCAGCATTCAACTCCGTCATTGCAGTAAGCATATCCCCTACATATTGTGTATAGAAAATCAGAAGGCAAAGGTGTTCTTTCACAGGAGCGATGAGACACTGAGCAAACGGGTTGCTAAAGATGCCAGTAAGACACTCCATTGCTCGATATTATGTCTTGTGTTAGCACCTACATAATATGGTATACAGCAATTTGATAAAGGAAATTTGATGAAAATCTTTAATCTAACCAATACATGCATGATGCATCCTAGATTCATTTCATTGAGTAAGCTTGTATTACCTTTGGCACATAGACCACCTGCGATCTCATAATCTAATACACAATGTTTTGACAATTTTAAAGAAGATGATAGTAAATTAGTAATAGAAAACATCAATGTCACTAGCAACCAATTATGCCATACTTTTTTGCTTCAATTTAGTTTCCACTCACACACTCTGAACCTTTAATTTTGCTTCAATTTACTCATTTGCTTCAATTTAGTCTGTGCTCTCGATGCACAAACCCCTGAAACCAGAAAATCCCCAAAATCTAAAGAAGATGAAGAGCAGAAGCTTCTGTTCTCTCAAAAAAAAGGACCAAAACACATCTATGGCGACCCCATCGTCATCATCCATGTGGGATTCGTTTGATTTTGTATGGGTTTGACTATGGTCAGTTCATGCCCCAAACAAGTATCTTTTACTATTTTACTATTTGAATGGTAAAGAAGGCCCATATGAGATTTTATATCGACATCTTTTTCATTTTTTTTAAACGAGTTAAGCAAATTGAATATTCTATTCATAAAAGTCTATATTTTTAGTCAAAAGCCGACATGTTTTTATATCTTTTTTTAATCTATTGTCTATTGGTGAATAAAAATCTATATAAACAATGGAATCCCACTTTATAAAAATATATGTTTTTATATATGGAATCCCACTTTATAAACAATGGATCGAATTGAGACCCAAAGATGTAGGGATGAGCAAAAACCGAACCGAAAACCGAAAAACCAAAAAAAACCGACATAACCGAAACCGAAAAAGCGAAAGCAAAGCAATAACCGACGGTTTGGATTTCAATTTTACAAAAACCGAAAAATAATGGTTTGGTTTGGTTTTGACGTATAAAACCACCCATAAAAACCGAATCGACCCACATATATATTATTTATATTATGATTTAAACTTTAGACTTTATCTATTTAATACTTTATGTTTATTTTCAATAAACTGTTGATGGTGTTAATCTTTGATCTTTTGAACACTTTTATGCTTTTATAATACTAGAATTCGTACTCTTAATTTTAATATATTTAAAGTAGATACAATACTATTTATCGCAACGTATTTTCACTAGGTTTAAACCCAAAAACTAGAGATAAAAAACAGGAGCTTATAAAACCCACGGTTGAAAACCGAAAACCCAACCCGGAAAACCGAAAAACTGACCCATGCAAAAACCGAACCTATATGGGTTTAAAAACCGAAAAACCGACTTTCTACGGTTTGTTTTGGTTTTAGCCAAAATCCGACCAAAACCGACCCATGCTCATCCCTACAAAGATGGCTGATGCCTAATGTTTTATTATTGATTGGAAGTTTATTTACAATGAAAGAGATGAAACTACTAAAGGAAAATAACTAGTCTAAAATATAAACCAAACAAAAAAAGCTACGTCGATCAGAAATATATGCTAACAAATGGAACCCAGAGGATCAATCAAGTCTATATATTCACAATCAGAGAGTAAAATTAAATGTAAAAACGCAAATATAAACCATCTAGATTTGAATAAATATGAGCATGTAGTGAGCTTGGATGGTTAGAAAATAGTTGAAATCAACATATTCTTGATTATTAGCATTAATTCATTCGAAGTTGATACACTAACAAGTAAAAAGCAATAATTCCTGTTTTAGCTATATGTTTTTCTTATGAGAACAACAAATATAATAATATCAAAAGATATTTACTTATCAATCTTTTTAAGAACACATACAGATACATATGAAAACATGGCTATTAAAAGGTAAAACAAAAATCAAAGGTGAATGGGCATAGTAGATTTTAACATCCTCTTATAGCCTTGCTTTCCAGGTTTATCTTAGAAAACACTCACATGTTTATTTTCTTCACCGATTGTTCTTAAACAAAACAAATATTTTAAAAATCAGAGGAAGAAAAGTGAATTATTTTAAATTTGCAAGTGCAGTTGGACTAACGAAACCATCAAGCAAGCAGTACAATAACATGTATATATGATTGTGAATGAATAAATAAAACATAATACCTGTGTGTGTGATTTGTCTTTTGAGCTTTTTGCAGCGATAAGAGTTCAAAATTTTAAGGAATAGAACTCTGAATCGTGAAAAAAAAAATGCCAAAAATGTCCAGATATACAAGAATCTTTTGTGAGGGGAAGGGTATGATTGTAATTATGGGATGTTCCATGACCAATACTTTCTTTAGAGGGTTAAATGTCCATTATTTTGATGTGACCAATTACTCTTTTTGGGAATTATTGATGGCTTACAGGTCCACCCATTTTGTATATGAACATATCTCTAAGTCAATTTTATAGATTATAAGCTAAGTTATTTAAATTTATTGTTTAATAAAATAGAAAATAGTTTATTTGACTTACGAACTAACTTTTAAACTAGTTATTGATATGTTTACAAATATATTCTTAATTATATAGATTTTTTTAGTTATATATTTAAATATTTATTTATGTCGATTTACATTACAGTTATAAGTTATATTTTATTAAACATTGTTAATTTATAAGTAACTTACTAGCTACCAAACTGGTTGTCACTTAGTGGGCCAAACATGACTCAAATGTTTCAAAAGCTATGTATCGCTTACTCTCCTAGTTCTCAAAATCTAATCAGAAAATTGAAAGGAGTTTTTTCACCTAATTATAGCGATTGTTGTGAGAAAAATATATATCTCCTTAAATTTAATATATATTTTTTTTGTTTCGAGTAAATGTTTTATATTTTTCTGCTTTTACATTATATGTATTTGCCTTTGGATGCACGGTGACACTCATTATTGCACAAAAAAACACAAACCTCATAGTTGATTTGATTAAGTTAATTTGTTACACATTGTCAACTCGTTTATTTTATAACCTAAATATGCAAAAATCTTAATCAATAACCAATTAACTAATGATGCGACACCGGCCAAATATATTTTGTGCAACAACTATTACTTTTTAATCAATTTAAGCCACAATATATTTTTTTACGAAGATATACAAAATTTAAATTTATGAAAACCGATGTGAATTACGTAATCACAATTTTAATTTGTTAAACATGTTATAATTAAAATAATAATAACAAAATGTTGTTATATGTAAAAATGAAAAATATTCAAATTTCAACTAAAATTAAATTTTTGTATATGTTAGAAAAAGTAATAAAATGACATTACACAAATAAATACATAAAAAAAATTATTGAAATAGTTGTGATGAATACTTGTCTCAAAGAGACTCAAGTTGTCGGCGTAGTGGGTAGAGGTCTAGATTATATAAAGTGGTGATGTCGACGACAATAAAATGGGGATTGTGAGGATATTGCTGTGTGGCTGTGGTTATGCAAATATTATTATTGTATTTACCTCATTTTTAGATTCGCTTAAGTATAAAATATATAAGTTTGCAAAAATAAAATTGGACTCCTGATCACATTCTCTTTAAATTTCATAGATTTAAAATTGAACTAAAAAACATAATAGTCCTTTCAAGCATTGTTCAAAGATTCTTTTGCCAGCGTTACCTTCTTTTTGGTCGACCTCGATCCCTTGTTATTATTGTACATGAAATAATAGTACTTTCACCATTGTTCAAATATTTTTTATAAATTGATTGAAGTCAAGTATTTTATCCGATAACACAAATATACTTTTCAAATTACAGTAAAATATATTTTTATTATTGTACGTGAAGTACAATTACTAATATCAAATTTACGAAAATAAATAAGATATGGCATTGTCTTTAGTCCGACCCACTATTTTCATGTATACAATTACTATGCATCAAACTTACTATATATCAATTATCAATTGGGTGGGAAGTTTGTTTGCTTTTAACAGGACTATGCTCTTCTGTTGGAGATGAGGATTCTTTCATTGTCGGAATTTTTTGTTAATAAGGGTTGTCGATATGCTATATAGTAGTGAATATATATATATATATATATATATATATATATATATATATATATATATGGGATAATGACTTAAAAATATAGGGTAAATTACACCAATGGTCCCTCGTGGGCATGTCAGAAGGCGTGTTTGGTCCCTATTTAAAAAAATTCACTCGGACCGTCCCTGAATTTCTTTTTTTTTTGCACGCTTAGTCCCTATTGACATGAAATGACTATTTTACCCTTAATAATTTCTTTTTTCATTTTATTTTATTCATTTATCAGTTTTAGATTATAAAATAAATTTAAAAAAAAAAAATCATATATATATCCACCCCTCCCCTCCCTTTCTCTTTCCCTTCTCCTTCTAACTTTCTTGGACCAGAACCACCGACTACCACCGGAAACCACTCGTCCTCCTCCTTTTTCGACAAGATTAACTAGCCAAAATTCGTTTGTTTTCCCCTCCTTCATATCACCATCATCCAGCTCAAACAACCATTGATGAACATACCTGATTTTCAAACATCAAATATTCAACCCAAAACTTGCATTCTAATCTGAAAATCAAACCCCTCATGAATCTCAAACCCATTTAGATCTACATTTATATTTGAAACTCAAACCCATATCAGAAACTCGAACATCAGAAACTCGAACATCAGAAACCACATCATCTCATCATCACAACCCACCCCCATCGCATCACCCTTCTTCGCCTTGTCTGCCGTCGGATGCCTCACCGGAGATATTATCGCCATTTGATTGCTCCATCGAAGCAGCATGCCTCGCATCCCACTCCATCACTGCACCCACCGAAACCGACGAAACCCTTCTTGCCTCTTCCCCTCGCACCTTTCCCTTCTTCTCGTCGAGCTCCCTTGCCAAACCCTCTCGCCTGCGTTGCTGATTGTTGCTCGCGACCACCCCTCCCCTTCCCCCTTGGCACCTCACTGCCAGAGGAGAAAGAGCGCGGCCCTGCTGATTCTTCCCATCTTCTTTCTTCGGTCTCGTCGACCCCAGGAGACGCTCCCTTCTTGCGATTGATCGACAAAACCTCCGATTAACTGCCTGCGAGCCTCCGTGATTTCTTGCCGGCTGTCGTTCGTTGGTGTTCTACTTTCGATCATCCTGTCTATTTTCCCGATCAGACAAAAGACGGGGCACAAAGAGATTTGCACCTGCACACTAAACCCTAGGTGCCTCTCGTTGTTCCAACGAGACGATAACGGATCTTCACCCTAGTTCAAGGGTACCAGATATGCACTTCTCCTTAACCTTCTCCTTACTGTTCAGATCTACACTCCTGGTTGGATCCTTCGTATGAAGAAACGCAGGATGAAAAACAAGTGCTTGAAAAGATTTAGAAGATTAAATTGGAGCTTGGTCAGACTTCTGGAGATGTTTTTGTGGAGGTCGCCGGAGTTTTATAAAGAGTCAACGGAGATCCTTTGAACTGAGGAGTGAGATGAGGGGTGAGTAAAGCGGTGACAGTGGTGCTCTATTTTCCAATGATTGTATAGATTATTGGTAGTGGTGGTGTGGATTACCGATGGTGGTGGTCAAGTATTTTTCAACAGCATATAAAAATAATTATAATACTTTTTAATAATTAAATTGATAAAAATAAATGAAAATGAAATTGAAAAGGGCATTATAGTCCTTTCATGTCCCACAAGGGATAAGACGTGCAAAGTTCAACTAACGAGGGATGAAGTGTGATACTTTTAACGACATAAGGGACGGTCCGAGTTAATTTTTGAAAATAGGGATTAAGTACGCTTTCTGGCATATACACGAGGGACGATTGGTGTAATTTACCCAAAAATATAATATATTTTTTGATTTGTACGTATTTGGTCACTAAGTTTTTTTTTCATCCATATTTAACCTTTCAACTTGTTAAACTGTAGTCATTCGGTCCTTATGACTGGCTGCTCGAAGTTAGCTGGGAAAAATGGCTTAATAGGGTAATATATATCTCAATTGAAGTGCATTGCTATTTCTTGTTCTTACATTCAATATTCTAAAACTTTATGACACATTTTTTTTTATCAAGTTACAATCATAAAAAGCCACAAACACAATCAAGGATGTAGTTTTGCAGGTTTAAAGTGAAGATTAAAGAAAAAAACCAAAAGGCCACAAATATGATTGAAACTAAAACTATTGCTTATACTCTAGTTTCAAGGTTTACATTTCAAAAGAAGAAAAGAAACTGATTTAATAATCACTTCACCTCCCCCTACCAGGTGCAGCAGCAGCTCCACGACCAGCAGCCTGAGCCTGCACAAAACATCAAGAGAAGATTTCATCAACCTTTTAAAAATGACAAAACTACCCTTTCTCTTCCCTCCTAACATTTTTTTTAATAACAAAACTACACAGATGTGTAATATTCAAAAACTGATAGTTTTTTTTCTTTCCCTTTTTTCTAACTTGAGAACACAAAAAATAATTCAACATGACACTTCTTTTTCAAACTATCGAAAATGTTCAAAAACACCCTTGTACTATAAAATGTTATAAAAAAGGTCATTTTAATTATGAATGTAAGGACACTAAGTTACTCACCTTATATAAATACATCCACACAAAATATATTTTCAGAGATAAATGTAGGGGTTGATGCCATAATTGGGTAACAAACTATCAAAAATGTTCACAAAACACCCTTGTGCTAAAAAATGTTATGACATTAGTACAAGGGTGTTTTTTGAACATTTTAGATAGTTTGTTATCAAATTCTGACATTAACCGTAAATGTAATGCTTACCCGAGCTCGCATGGCAACAGCACGGCCTCGACCAACACCAAGTGCTGAACTTTTACCCTTTAACCAACAAAAATTGCATGATTTAAAAAAATATATATAAATAAATAAATAAAGAATTCACAAACTAGCAAATAAAACAGCTGAGAGCACCTTAATTCTAGCTTCCAATCGCTTGAACATAGGAGCATTCTTAAGCATATCTGGTATGATCATAAACCTGCACCAATTGTTACTGTTGTTACTGATACTGATACTGATACAGTGATACTGATAGCGTTATAATTGAAGTAAAATGAAAAGTAATTATTTGGGAAGATAATGACATACCTAACTTTGCTGCCTCGAATAAAGACATGCTCAAGTTGTGAGATCTTTCCATCCTGTTGATAATCAACAAACTAACATCATCAAGGTTTCTTATCTTTTTTTAAATTAATAAATAATTAGTATATTAAATAGAGTAAATTACACGAATGGTCCCTATGGTTTAGGGTAATTTGCACATTTGGTCCCTAATTTATTTTTTTAACTCGGAAAGTCCCTACTGTTTGTTTTTGTTACACGCTTGGTCCCTTTCTTACCTAAAAAGACTATTTTGCCCTTGATTTTCTAATTTCTTTAAATAAACACACCCCCAACCTCACCCCCTCATCTTACCTTACCTACCCATCATTTTTTTTCTATTTAAATAATCATTGTTTTAGGTAAGATAGGGACCAAACACGTAACAAAAACAAAATGTAGGGACCAAGTGTGTAACAAAAACAAACAGTAGGGACCTTCTGAGTTAAAAAAACAAGTTAGGGACCAGACGTGCAAATTACCCAAAACCATAGGGACCATTCGTGTAATTTACTCTATTAAATATGATTACAAAAAAAACATTATTAGAATAAAGGTCCAATTTTTCTGAAGATTGTAAACACTTGATTGTGCCTTGAGCGAATTTCCAGCATATGCTTTCTAAGAAGTACGAATTAGGTCCTTTCTGCATACTTTTAGTTTTAAGGAGCAAAAAATGATGTTCTTTAACCAAAAAAAAAAGGTTTCTTGTGTTCTTTGATTCGATGAATCTTGAAGGAAAAGATTTTGTAACTACTACCTTATAGAATTTATAATGAAAAAAGGAATTTGTAGTCAAGCTTAGATCATAGACTAAACTTTAAGTTGCATGTTGAAATCAAACAAAATTAGAGACTGAAAAACTGAAGTTTGATGATTTTCTCTATCTTGTGGTTTTATTTCATCTGAAGCAGATGCTAACTACCACAAAAATTTCCCCCAACTGGAAATATTTAGTATAAACTCATGAATCAAATAGAATTCACCCCCAAAAGAAGTTGTAATCAATTTGTAAATTCCTTAAAGATTCTCTGGTACATTACTACCAAAATGGTTACAAAATTAGAAACCACCATTTTCCCTTGAAATTTCATACAACAAGCCTACAAATGTTGAAAATAACCAAGAAAGTTAAACCATGTCACAAGACATTTAACTAATGTAAACACAGAATCTTCTTTTGCAAAGAAAGAGCACATTTTCGACCTAGCACCTAGGGTTTAGGGTTTAGGGTTTAAGAAAATAGCCCAATTAATTCAGCGTTTCATTGTTTCGTATGTTTTTTTTCCATTAAGAGTACTGTAAACGAAGATAGAGATGGAGCGTTTTCATATTGTGTCGTTAATTCGTTATACACAACCCAAGAGAAAAGTTCAAATCAAGGGTTTAACAAGATCACAGGAAAAGCAAAATCAACAAAATACATCGAATCACGGAAAATAAAAACTTGAAATTAATTGGGGAAACGACAGGAGTAACCTTAGCAGTGAAAGTAACGTTTTCGACTTGACAGTTCCAGTTGTCTTCGCATTCGACTAAGCTTCCTCTGTACACTTCTCCGCTTTTGAGTTCTACCGTCACAATGTGACCGGCGGCCTCGTGTAGCAGCTTCACCGGTATCCCTAAGCTCCGACTCATCCCGACCCGATCAGAATCTCTTTCCTTCTCCTTGCCTTTATCTCTCTAGAATCTCTGTAGTGTCTAGTGAGAGAGGGTGGGTACTTCACTCGAAGTGGGTTTCCGAAACAGAAACGCCAAAATCAAGAGCTCTTGAGTCTTTGAGAACTTTAATTTGTTCAAGGGAAATGCATTTTTTTTTGGATGCATGAATATTGAATAGTCAAAATCAAATAACAAATTCTAATTTTATTTTGATATTTTATAAATAATCAAATATATTTAATTGTCTAATGACTTAATAGGTGAAACAATATATTTTTATATAATTTTTGTTATCTAAATTTCACGTATAATAATTAGCTTAACTTAAAATAATGTTTTTAGCATAAGTTATTTATCAAAATACATCTCTTATCAAAAAGTTATTATGAAACAAATTTAGAAACATTCACCGAATCACCGACAATTAAAGGTTAAATAGTGTGGTAGGAACAAAGCTTTTGAGACTACTTTTCTTGGACACTAAAACCAACCCAAACTATATATATTAAAAAGCTAATTTATCTTTTTTCCGTCTATTCAAACAATCTAAACCCAAAATTTCACTTCCAATAACAACTCATTCCAATCCAAATTTTTAATATTAAAAAATAATAATAAATATATCAATATTAGTCTCTTTTTATAGAGAAAATAAATTTTAAACTTTAGTATGCTTTGTTTTATTATTTTCTACAAAATAAAATATATTTTCTTAAATTATAAAGTTTATTTGATAATAAAAATAAATGTCAATCAAGAATTGTACAAATGAAGCCAAACGACTTAGAGGTCGTTGCACAAATGGAGTCGTCTTTATTATTTTTTAATTTTCATCCCAACCAACTAAAACAATTAGTTACGGATTAGAGTAGTCATAAAGTTTTTTGTTTTTTACCTTTATATTTTTCACAAAAAACTTAAAAAAGAAAACTTTTTTTTGACAATATCCACATTTAGTTATTACTTTAAATTAAAAACTCTTTTACTTCAACTAGCTTTTGAAAACTTTTATCTTTTGATTTGTATGTAATTTTACATCTTTAAAAGCTGTAATAACTTGTGTCAAAAAAAATATATGTAATATATATAATTTGATTATATCAATTTAAAAAAAAGAGGATTAGTTCACAATTAATGGGTTAATTATATACAAATTATGAGGCTTGATGATCAAAACCGTCATTCTTCAATATGGCTTTAAATTCGAGCAAACGAGATGACTCCTTCAGTTTTTGAGTTAGGCATTATATATAGCTCGAAAAATAGAGTGGAAACCCCACTAGAATTGCAAGAAACGACTGAGATTCGAAGGAGAAATCGGGTGTGGAAGTTGTTAAAGATTTTCGGAGTTCTTCTTGAAATTAAGGTATGACCACTCGATTTAAGCTTGATTAAGTTACTTGATTAGGTTTGTTTGATTCTATTATGTGTTTTGGTTCCATATCACGTTTCTGTTGGGGCCAATAGTGATTCAATTGATAAAAAAAATTAGAATGTTAAGTTCTTGAAAAAAAAATGAATAATGTCTTACCTGGTGAGTTACATATGTGGTCCTTTGTTTTCTTATGACTTGCCATTTCTTTATTTCCAACTTACAAGTGGTTAATTTGTAACCTACAAAAGATATCAAACATGTTTACCATATGTTTTCTTTTCTTTTGTTCAAATGTGTTAAGATTATGGAAATACCATTTTTTTCGAAGAAATACATTATTTATTGTTATATCAAATATTTTCCAATATTAACGATTAAAGGTGAAACCTTGTTATTTATATATATATATATATATATATATATATATATATATATATATATATATATATATATATATATATATATATATATATATATATATATATATATATATATATCGAGAAGGTTATTATAAACATCGTATTCAACATATTTAAATAATAATCACTATTTTGGTCGAACGAAACACGTGGATATCGGAACCAAAATGATCGCATAGGATGTTTTTCTAGAATTGTTGCCTTAGGAAAATTTATTGGTGGAATGTAGAGTGCGTGTAGCGTGTCAAACTTTGGTTAAGACCTAAACGCCAAGAAGGTGGGTTTCGTGTGAATTTTATGGTTGCTTGCATAAAAAGTTGATTCTAAATTATTTGCAATTATATGTTACCGTTGTTATTGCTATGAATATTTGTGTGAAATTTTGTGAATTATTTCATATAAAATGGTGAAAATGGTGGGTGACATATAGGGAACATGTGTATTTACAATTTCTTATTATTAGTCGTCGTACAGGGTGTTAGTACGCGGCGGAGAGCTTACGCTCTGTTTATCTATCCGTAAGCATATTTGTTGTGCCCGACGGAGGGACTTGTTCCCTGGAAATGACAGTAGTTCCCTAATGTGTTATCAAGGGTGGAAAGAAATAAAAAGAATTATATTGATAAATTGTTGCATATTTTTTATTTTTTTTATTGACATCAATATGCATGAAAACCACGAACTCACTAAGCCCTAGGTTTACCAATTAGAATCTTTAAATGCACGCAACCTAGGAAATAACGTAGCAAGTGGCAGCGGGAATGGAAATGATAAAGTTCAGACTTGAAGAAGGCGACAAGTTTTGAGGAAGACGTAGCGCACCAAGTGTTTAATTAAATTTCTATTCGCTTCCGCTATTATTATTAATAATTACATTAGTATTTGAATCATGATTTTTGGAAGTTTTCAGACTATGTTAAATTATATTTATATTTGAAATTTGGGGCGTTACAAAAGCTAAAATTAATTTGATCAAAGACTTTTATACAAATAAAACTTACAGCCAGATAGTTTTGCCAAAAACATCAAAAATGTTAATCCTTCAATAGCAAAGAAAGTAGCAATAAACAAGTTGGTCAAAAACTTTGTTATTTTTTTAATAAAATTACCACTTCTTAAACTCGTCATGAAATACTATCAGTTGTAACTTATTTATAGCCTTATCCAAAGTTTTGTTTTTATTTCTTTATTATTTTGGTTTGTAAAATATATTTTTTTACTTTTTCTTTTATGATCATGGGGTTGTAGAGTAGAGAGACAAAGTGTGTATATATATATATATATATATATATATATATATATATATATATATATATATATATATATATATATATATATATATATATATATATATATATATATATATAGAGTTAGGTTCAAATGTTTTTAGCAACTATTGTGTGCCTAAATGCACCAATGAGAATTCAAGAAATAATAATGAATTAATTAAATCATTAAAGGGTATTTTAGACTTTTGGTACTTATAATTAAGGAAATGATATAATTGAATTCATTCAATTAAGGAAATAAAGTTAATATATTTGACCTAGTTATGTTTGGGGCTGAACACATTCATCATCAGCTCACCATCGCCGATTATGCTTCTTCTTCTACAATTGATGTATTCTCTTGTCTCGCACCCTGCTTCTTCCATGTACCTATTTGCACCACCGCCTGCAAGGACCTTCAACAAGATTCGGGCTTTATTCGATCTTATTTATAGTCGTTATCTTTATCTCTCTCGTTCAAAATCCATGGACCGATCCTAGAATACAATGATTTATACTCACCAGTCATAGGTATGTAATTATATTTCTCAAATATTATCAGTTCAATCAAAACCGAAGCCATATAACCATTTATGTTTTTTTTTGTTCGATCATATGGAAACCGAACACAGGAGGTATACCCTCATGTGTAACTCATTTGATGTTGTTGGTTCTGAATTGATATTTTTTTCATTCATGATTCATAGAAAATTTGGTGATTTAGGGAGCGCCCTTAAAGTGTTTGATGAAATGCCAAAGAGAAATATGATAGTCTCAGATTGTATTCATGGTTAGTAATGGAACACCGGTTAATGAGGAGATGCTGGTAAGTTTACATAAACTTTATTGATCTTTGATTAAGTTTTTTGAGTTGGGTTTTTGTAATTTTTTATTTTTTTCAGAAATTCAGAGACACCATTCTTTGATGGCAAAGAACTTGTAGCTTGAAGTATAGATGATTCAATCTATGTTTATGATGTTGAAGCAAATATCTATCCTGATCATAGATTTGATGTTGAAGCAAACTGACTTTTCCTTATGTTTATGATGTTGAAGCAAACAGACATATGGGCTGATCATAGCTTTGACCTTGTTTACCTTTTTATAATATTTCCATTCTGAAATAATAGTTTATTATATAAGAATATTATTGCTTTATTCTGATAGAATTTGCAGTTAATTAATTATATGTTTAATGTGCAGTTGTTAGAAGTGTATCACTACAAAGTATTTGGCAATGAATTTGTGATCGAAATGACTTGGAAGAATGGCTTGAAGACCTGATGAGAAAGACTCCTTGTAAAAAATCATTCTCATGCAATCCAATTCTGACAGAATGTCAATGTCACAAAATATTAATCTCATAGAATGCTAGCATATTTTGAATTGGCTTAGAGGTCAAACATACACAAGACATCTAGAATGTTGTTATTTTTTAAGAATTATACTTGTTATTCTTTCAGAATGTTTGTTATAATTCAATGAATCACAATCGTACAATGTAATTATTTGGTATATTATTATTTCAAGAATCGATTTTGTGTATTCTTTCAGAATATATTTAGTAGTTTATGGTTGACATTCTGTCATTCTGACAGAATAAAATCGAAAAATATGTTTACTACTTTATGGTTAAAATTCTATCATTCTGCAGAATAAAAATCGGATTTTTAAATTTAAATTAATTTAAAATATTTAGATTTTTAAAAATAAATGAATTAATTATCCCTAAAAATCCGAAATTTTCATTTTTTAATATAGGTTAATTGACTAGAATGCCCTTATGTTCAAATTTGTGTGATTATATGGTACATGTTATCCTATTCTACTATCATAGACCCTCAGATATATATATATATATATATATATATATATATATATATATATATATATATATATATATATATATATATATATATATATATATATATATATTTGTTATGTTTGTTAAATGGGTGTTGTTATTGGTACCATTATAGGTGAAAACCATCTTAAAGCTCAAAACCATTATTAATAGGGTCAAAACCATTATAATTTATAAATCAAATAAATTTTCCATTATATGATGTGAACCAATGATAGAATAAAATTCCATTTTTGGTCCTTTGTTAT